AGGTCAAGGCTGAGTTCAAGGTCAAAGTCAAGGTTAAGGAAGAGGTCAAGGTCAAGAATGTGGTCAAAGTCGTGGTAGAGGTCAAAGTTAAGGTCAATTTAGAGTTCAAGGTCAAGAAAGAGGTCAAAGTCGAGGTTGAGGTCAAAGTCAAGGTCGAGTTAGAGGTCAAGGTCAAGAATGAGGCCAAAGTCGAGATAGAGGTCAAAGTCAAGGTCAAGGCTGAGTTTGAGGTCAAACTCAAGTATAAGGAAGAGGTCAAGGTCAAGAATGTGGTCGAGGTTAATAAAGAGGTCAAAGTCGAGATAGAGGTCAAAGTCAAGGTCAAGGCTGAGTTCAAGGTCAAAGTCAAGGTTAAGGAAGAGGTCAAGGTCAAGAATGTGGTCAAAGTCGTCGTAGAGGTCAAAGTCAAGGTCAATTTAGAGGTCAAGGTCAAGAATGTGGTCGATCATGGTAACCTCAGTAACTACAACTGTGGTCACCTTTTTAACCATAACCATAGTAACTGATTGCTGACAATATTTTCTTGAGTTTGGTCTAGGTTTGAGCGGATTTAGTGCAGAAATGTAGAATTTTAGTAGGTTTTAGTGTGATTTTGTGTTGGACATACATTGGGTAAACCTAGGTTATTCTTCCTATATAAAAATATTTGTACAATCAACACACATGTATAGGTTAAAAGGCAAGCTGAGACATTTGTGAATCTTTTCAGCCACAGTACAGCCATATTGGAGTGGTATTTTTGGAATAAAATTCAGTTTTTTGAAAATTTTGAGCTAGGTCGAAATTTTGGTTTATTCAAAATTTTGACCATTTAAATCAAACAAATCGGCAATTTGACCATTGATTCTGATTGCTGACAATATTTTCTTGAGTTTGGTCTAGGTTTGAGCGGATTTAGTGCAGAAATGTAGAATTTTAGTAGGTTTTAGTGTGATTTTGTGTTGGACATACATTGGGTAAACCTAGGTTATTCTTCCTATATAAAAATATTTGTACAATCAACACACATGTATAGGTTAAAAGGCAAGCTGAGACATTTGTGAATCTTTTCAGCCACAGTACAGCCATATTGGAGTGGTATTTTTGGAATAAAATTCAGTTTTTTGAAAATTTTGAGCTAGGTCGAAATTTTGGTTTATTTAAATCTTTGACCATTTAAATCAAACAAATCGGCAATTTGACCATTGATTCTGATTGCTGACAAAATTTTCTTGAGTCTGGTCTAGGTTTGAGCGGATTTAGTGCAGAAATGTAGAATTTATGTAGGTTTTAGTGTGTTTTTGTGTTGGACATACCTTGGGTATACTTAGGTTATTCTTCCTATATAAAAATATTTGTACAATCAACACACATGTATAGGTTAAAAGGCAAGCTAAGCCATTTGTGAATCTTTTCAGCCACAGTACAGCCATATTGGAGTGGTATTTTTGGAATAAAATTCAGTTTTTTGAAAATTTCGAGCTAGGTCGAAATTTTGGTTTTTTCAAAATTTTGACCATTTGAAACACACAAATCGGCAATTTGACCATACATTCTAATTGCTGACAAAATTCTCTTGAGTTTGGTCTAGGTTTGAGTGAATTTGGTGCAGAAATGTAGAATTAATGTAGGTTTTAGTGTGTTTTTGTGTTGGACATACCTTGGGTAAACCTAGGTTTTTCTTCCTATAGAAAAATATATGTACAATCAACACATATGTATAGGTTAAAAGGCAAGCTGAGTCATTCGTGAATCTTTTCAGCCACAGTACAGCCATATTGATGTGGTATTTTTGGAAAAAAATTCAGTTTTTTTTAATTTTTGAGCTAGGTCGAAATATTGGTTTTTTCAAAATTTTGACCATTTGAATCACACAAATCGGCAATTTGACCATATATTCTGATTGCTGATAAAATTCTCTTAAGTTTAAGAAAAATGGTGCCAAATCATCGGCAATGAAGTACAACCACTAAAGGAACTGTTATGATAACTATTAATTTTGTTTTATTTAAATAATATTTGAATTTAGCACTATTATCCAAGTTGTTAATTTACAATTTAATATATATATTTAAACTAAACAGTTTTACTCGAGGTTGATAATAATTATATAATTTGTTGCTTATGTGTTAGTTTCAACAAGCACTTAATATTTTTACAATATTTTACATATCGGCCTCTTCAGTTTTAAAGACGTGAATAATTGAGTGAATTCAGGGAATAAATTGGAGTTTTTAATAAAATATGGTTATAACGTTAATATACTGACTGTTATCAAATAAATGTCTGCACTCTACCAAAAAAATATGAAAAACCAATTATTTGTTAAAAGTCGAGTCGGTCGTTTACAGATCAAAAATACATTAAAAACAAAATAACAATTTTTCTCTTGAAGGAAAGATGTTGGATTATGAACCTGTCTTAAGGTGGAATAAAGGAATTATAATTAACAAATAAATTAACAGTTAAAATGGGCAAAGACATTCAATTTTATAAACAAAAGATAAATATGTTTAAATTTTTACTAAAAATATTTAAATTATATTCGGTATACTGGCTGCCGATTAATGTAGAAGTAATAAATATAATAAACTATATGCATGGGTCGTTATTGGTATTTTAAATTTCTTAATAAATTTACAATTAAAGTGTACAAAAAAGTGCCTCAAAGTTTTGGTAGGTAATCTCGGTTATAAGACTGTAGTATTTTGACTAGTTTAGGATATAATAAAAAAAAAACATTTGAAGTTTTGAGTTATATAAATATAAAAGCATGATAATGCTTTTAGACATGATTTTGTATAAACGGAAAATGATGTGAGACACGATGATGTTGATGATATGTTAAAAAGGCAATACTTACTCAATTATTAAAAACAATGACCTGATAAATAATTAATATTAACAATAATGAACAGAAATAATAAAATATCACTATTTTGTGATAATATGCAATTTAATACAGTTCCTTCATTTCCGAAAACCGATCAAATGAAGCGATAACATCAAAGTCTATACGACTTGAATCTCTTTCCAAATCCTTACTAAATAAAAAGAAACTTAATTGACTCACGAGTGGCATAGACTTTGAATAGCCATAGCTTGGTAACTTCTTTGCTAACACTCTAAACCTTTTTTTATAATATTCATTGTAAAATTTAGCAACGGCAAAAGTAACTTTCGGGAAAATTCATATTATTGACATTTTTCAATAGGGCCAAAATAATTTCTTCGACTTTTTTGATTTTATCTAAATCGGCCAACGTGCGTGCAGATTGGAACAGTTCAGCAATATTTTTCAATTCTCCGTCTTCCTCCAAATTTAAAAGCCGTAAAATGTTATTAAAATCGTTAAATATTAGACTGTTGTACTCCTCTATCCCACTGATGGCAGATTCTTCTGTCTTCCATTTTTCGTCGAATAACCAGTTTATCATAACTTCATACACCAGTGGATTATCTGAGTTTTTAGATGGTAAGCGAGCAGCGATTTCAAGTACGGAAATCCACAAGTTGTGCAACATAGCATACCTCATAACGTTCATAAACCTACGATGACATTCAAAAAATGCATTGGTCTGTGCCACAAAAGATTCGAGATCACGATTTCTGTCGCAGGTACGATTTATTAGATCGTATGCACGGGCTTTTCCCGCTTTATCGACTCCTGCAATGTTTTCCAATAATTCTTGTAAAACACTCGGTTCGTTGATTGCAGGTCGCAAAAATAAACGAAAAAATTTCATATAACATTTACAATCGTCGATTATCATACTCGTAGTTATTTGATCGATTCTCTTGTTAATCGTGATCTTGAATTTGTCTCTTTTAGTTACATAGTTATATACAAACAAACAAACATACATACAAGTGAAGCTAATATAAGCGTGTTAAAAACATAACTTCTCATATGTCCGAATGAATCGTAGTAGATTTTGAGTTAAGCGTGATTAATGTATTACGTTTACGAATAATAATTAAGTTTTTTTGTGGAGTCTAGTCGCAGAGTTATTATTTACATTTATGTCAATGTAAACGGAGCAAATTCAATAACTTGGATTAGCAAAATTAAATTTACAATTTTTTGGTTTATTTATTTTTGAGCAAGACATACGTCGTGTTCTCGTCCTGCCTTACTCATTTTCCTTCTTTTTATAACTACTGTTACAGTAATTACTACAGTAGTACTACTAGTGTCAACTCATTCCTAATTCTTAAAGGCTGTTAGTCACTTGAGTTTGAGGGGACGTTTGAATTAAGGCGTTAGATTGTAGCTTGAAATAACGTTAATATTCTCACTATACCCAAGTAAATGTCTGCAATATCCCCATAGCAGACCTGACTTTTGACAAATCTGAAATCACCATAAAGTGTTTTTAGTTATTTTTTTTTTTTTTTAACGAACTGCTCAAGTCCAAAAAAATATCTATATAGAATCAAGATTATAATTCCAATAAATTCTAAATATCAATAAAGAATGTATGATAACATTTTCAAATATTTTTTTAACTATAATTGCACACATATCACCCATAACGTGAACGCAAGCGGATTTTAGAAACGTTTCAAACATATACAGGGTGTCTTACAGTGAATTGTTTTTTAATATACATTTTTACTTATTTGCGTTGTAAACACCACGTAATGTGCACCTCTCGTCTTAATATTAACCTTAAATAAGTTAAAAATAAATTTTCCAAAACTGGTTATCCACCAGTCAAAATTGTGTTAAATTACACTTTATTGGATACAAAAAGTGCAATAAAAACGTAACGCTTATAGCACAAATGAGCAAAAGTAATTGTACTATCCGAATTTTGTATCGATAAAATGGCATAGACAATAATTTAGTAAAAATTCATTTATGTAAAATATTAGTAGCAAAATACCAGAACTCCTCGTCAGTTTAATGTAAATATATAATCATACTGAAAAAACAAAACCAGCTATGTAAACTAACACAAAAGCACAGAAAAAATAAACATTTTGATTTAAGTGTTTTGATCGATATATAAGTCCGTAGACAAACGACAAGGTAGTCGCATCAATACAGTTAAAGAGGCTGACATTTTTTTTTAAAGCTTAACACATTCAATAATTTAAGTAAGTAACACTACCTAGCTCTAAATTTTTTATTTCAAAAAAATAAGAAGTCCAAGAAATATTTTTGGTTTTATAATATATATAAATATATAGTAACGTATAAAAATAATTTTGTAATAGCACAACCTTCACAATTCTGGTGGCTATTGTATGTTTATTATTATTTACAGATTACAGATAAAAATGAAATTTTATAGTTTTTTAATATCATTTATCTTTGTAAATGTTTCAACGTATGACATAAGTAAATATTTTGTTTTACAGTTACTTACTTGAGGTTATTGACATTTAAAAAATATTTTTTTATTTTTTTACAGAGGATTATATTAAGGAAGTTTGTGTTACAAGTCAGTAATATTTTTGTTATACATTTTTTTATTTTAAATTTAAAATTGTACTCATTTATACATAATTTTTCATAATTTATTGAAGACGCCCACATCGAGCATGTTTTTAACATGAATAATTTTAGAATAAGAGGAAAATTTGAATTAAGTAAGTTATATTGAAAATTAATATACTAATACTATATAATAATTGTTTTAATATATATTTATCTGATGACTGATTGTAGAATTGTTTATAAATTAAAAATTAAACTTTCTTTAAGCAGTTCTGAAAAGTCCACGAGGTTTATAGAACTAATGTTTTACATACTTTGTATTATATTAAAGTTACTACAATAATTCTAATGTATAGTTATAGTAATGGTTTCGATAATTTCTTACACCTGGCTATAGGCAGTGACTAATCATAATATTGGGAGTAACAATAAGTAAAATAGTCATCATTTAAAGTAACATGTAAGCAAGTCCTAGCTGTGATTATATGTATATATTTATAATGATATTGTATAAAACATATATAACAGCTTAAACGTTTATTTGTTTATCCAGATGGATTGGAGTATGTAGTTAAAACATTTGTCGAGCAAGGCCTGCATAGTATAGGTAGTTATTATTATACAATAATAAAAAAATAATGATAAATGTATTGTAATATTAAATTCACCATTGTGAAGAAAATGTAATCTAATATTTATAATTTATGCAATGTTAATTTCAGGACCTTTGAATAATATGTTCGCAGTACCCGGTAATAATTTACATGGAAATATTACCACACAATTGTTTGATATTCGTATACAATGTTTTTGTATTAATTTCAGAATTTCGACTCTATACCGAATGGGACGGTAACCACATATATATATATATATATATTTCATATTTAAAATACTTAAGACAAATTCATTATTCATACATGATATATTATACGCTTGTATAACTTGGTGGAAGTTAATATTTAATAGAAATAAAAAACACAACGATAATAATATGATCTAACACAATACTATTAAACATAAAATCACATAGTATAAATATAAAGAATAGTATGCACAACGTACGTTATAATTATAGCAGCATCCGTAATAGAATTGTACCCGACACCTTAATACTATGGCTTATATATGGTATAATCTATGTCATAAGTGAAATTGGTCCCTGTACCAAACCACTTTTAAACATTACATAATGATTTCTATAATATTCGCATACTATTATACAAAGTTATACTAAATTTATACTTATTACATACTCATATTCCAGACCCAAATATATAATATTAATTATATTTAATAATACATTTGGAGAATAATCATAATATGAATAACACTATTGGTTTCATTCACAAGAAATGTATAATTTCAATTAATTTTATGTCAATTTACAGAACTAATAGAAACCCAAGCAGCTTTGCGAGAACTAATACAATCTAAATTAAGTAAATATGAAATTTAAGATTTTTTAATCTTTAATTCCTTAACCCTAAAGAAAAATGATAAAAAGTAAATTACAGTTCAATTGTAACGCTTAGGCTGTGCGATTTCGTGGGGGTAAAGAGATTTTTGGCAGACAATCGCGAGCCAAACTGCAGCCTCTCACAATCCATCGCTCTCGATCCATCCTTGTGTGTACAATGACGTTAGAGTAGGGTTGATTATCAGGGTTGTTTAACGTCAAATGAGATTCGACATTATACATTTAAAGTATTACGCATATCAACGTGCCCACTCCCTTACTCACACATTGACATTATATGATCAAACCGAACCAAAAGGCATGACCCGTAGATACACGGGTGGGCATCGTAGCATAGCACGGATATAGAGGCGGGCCGGCACTGGCAAACCTACGTTTGTATTAGCCAACTGTAATAAGTTATAGCTAGCCGAGTCATCCCCCCCAGATTTCTTGTTTTACAGGAAAGGAGATAGGAGGAGCATCTTAAATCCGCACCACCACCACCACCACCACTGCAAACTATGCTGCACCGTTAAGCCACTGTTGTCAACTGCCAACCAAGCTTCGTCCACAGCTACTGAAAATGCACACGTGCACCGTGCACACATTGAATATTAACATTTATTAATAGGTCACTTTGTTCTAGCCCAGCACAGTCGCAATGTTACAAAGCCATCATCGCGTTATAGCCATTATAAGCCAAAAACGCGCACCGCTGCCGTCGTCGATCCACCAAGCACCCATGGCTCTGGTACACATTCCCTACAAGCAAAATTCCCGACAAGCTATTTCCCCGAACTTTTTTTTCTCGAAACCCATTTTCCCGAGAAAACAATTCCAATACACAGCAGTGGATTCAGGATTTTATTTTGGAGGGGCTCAAAATCCCATACGTCGTATACGTATTACGTATGGGTAATACGTAGGTTTACCTATACAGTAATTAAGTAACCATGGAAAATTATAAATAGTAATATCCCTCCCCCCCCCCCGTTTGGGTCTTAAAAGTGAACAGTTTAACGATCAAAATTAAACAATAGCGCAAATTATCGAAAAAAAATTGATCATGCTCAAACGGCTAGTCAAGAGCATTGCCGAGCCGAGATCGAGGCATAAAACGGAAGGCAGAAAATGAGTGTCGGGTAAATGGATTTGTGGGAAAATATTGCGGGGAAACGGCCTGTCGGGAATTTTACTTGTCGAGAATGTGGCTTCGGGAATCTGGTCCACTAGCGGAATCCATATGTAAAGTTACCTATACCTATACATTGCTCAGCGCCTGGTCCGGGCGATAATTATATGAAGCACATAGTGCCAAAACTGTTTAACCTTTTAAAATCTAAATTTCATATTTTAGTTCATATGTAACAAAGCCAAACTTGCCCAAACACAGCTAGTTAAAAAAACTATTCAAAAAACACATATTCGATGAAGTGGGTCAATCATTTAAACGTTTTAACGTGGATATTTCTCATCGCCTGGGGGTTATTCCAAAATTTGAGTGACATTTCGGGTCATAGACTCTCTCTATCTCTCGGTCACGATTTTGTCAATTTTGTTTAGTTAAGGTACCAGGGTACTATACGTAAAGTGTGCTACAAGACGTACGTCCAGCGGGTGGTGGTGGCAGCACCGTCAATGTAGATGTCTTGTAGCACACGTTAAGTACAGTACCCTGGTACCTAAACTAAAAAAAATTGACAAATTCGTGACATTGACTCTGGCAATTTATGCTCACGATTTCGCGTTGTGGGCTCTCTCGGTTATGATTATGTCAATTAACATTGGTGGTAGGAAAGGAGGTGGAGACACAGAGTTACACTACTATAGCGGCATACACTACTTTGACTAAAAGAGAGGGGAGCAGAAAAGGGAAAGTGTAGAAAAGGCAGAGAGAGGGTAAGGGAGAGGGTATGTGAGCCGCGATGGAAGGAGAGGAGATCATAATGTATTGTATTGTATTACAATATTAAATTCTTTTAAATATTATTAAATTCTCACACTTTCACTTTCAGTTAGAGATAAAATATTGGATAAGAGAAAAGTGATTAGATGTACATAAGTAATAATAGATTAAAGACAAGAGATAAATGATAAGACATATAATATCTCCATGATTAAATGTTTTTTTCGCCGAGCAGAGAAATTAGCTATGGTTTTTGCTTTTGTGTGGCCATACATTCCTAACGTTACTTATTATACGTCATTATCATTATTACTATTGTAATTATCATTAATATAAAATAATAATAAAAACCCTTAACCATAAAAATTATATACTCTCCGCGAATACGTCGTATTTCGGC